GTGGTGCCAAGGAAGTTACTATTGGTGCGGATGGTGTTCTGCGACTCTAGGGTCGTCTATGTGTTCCTAATGTGGATGGACTAAGAAAAAAGATCCTAGAGGAGGAACACAGTTTCAGGTATTCTATTCATCCAGGTGCTACGATAATGTATCGTGATTTGAGGCAGCATTATTGGTGGCGGCGAATGAAAAAGGACATTGTTGAGCATGTAGCTAGGTGTCTAAATTGTCAGCAAGTTAAATATGAGCACCAGAGGCCAGGTGGCCTACTTCAGCAGATGACTATACCGGAGTGGAAATGGGAACGCATCACTATGGACTTTGTAGTTGGGTTGCCGCGGACCTTGCGGAAGTTTGATACAGTTTGGGTCATTGTCGATAGGTTGACCAAGTCAGCACATTTCGTTCCGGTTGTGACTACGTATACTTCAGAGAGGTTGGCCCAAATTTATATTCAGGAGATAGTTCGGTTGCACGGTGTGCCAATTTCTATCATATCGGATAGAGGCCCTCAGTTTACTTCACATTTATGAAGAGCAGTACAGAGTGAGTTGGGGACCCGTGTAGAGCTCAGCACAGCTTTTCATCCGCAGACCGACGGGCAGTCAGAGCGCACAATTCAGATTTTGGAGGATATGCTCAGGGCATGTGTGATTGACTTTGGAGATTAGTGGGATCATTTTTTGCCTTTGGCCGAGTTTGCTTATAACAACAGTTACCAATCCAGCATCGAGATGGCTCCATTTGAGGCTTTGTATGGTCGGCGATGTCGTTCGCTCATCGGATGGTTTGAGCTCGGTGAGTCTAAGTTATATGGTACCGATTTGGTGAAAGATGCCTTGGAAAAGGTAAAGTTGATTCAGGAGCGACTTCGTACAACACAGTCCAGACAGAAGAGTTATGCGGATCAGAAAGCGCGAGATTTATCATTTATGATTGGTGAAAAAGTTCTCTTGAAGGTTTCACCGATGAAGGGAATCATGAGATTCGGGAAGAAGGGCAAGTTGAGCCCAAGGTTTATAGGCCCATTTGAGGTGTTGAGGCGAGTTAGGGAGGTTGCTTATGAGCTTGCATTGCCTCCCAGCCTATCGGGAGTTCATCCGATTTTTCATGTATCTATGCTCTGGAAGTATCATGCCGACCTATCATACGTGTTAGATTTCGGCACAGTTCAGCTAGATAATATCTTGGGTTATGAAGATGAGCCAGTTGCCATTGTTGATAAACAAGTTCTCCAGTTGAGGTCCAAGAGGATTTCTGTAGTAAAAGTCCAGTGGAGGGGCCAACCAGTCGAGGAAGCGACTTGGGAGGCCGAGGAAAACATGCGGAGCAGATATCCACATTTATTCAGCACTTCAGGTATAATTCTAAACTTGTTCGAGGACGAACGTTTGTTTTAGAGGTGGAGAATGTGATGACCCAAAATATCATATTTAAACTTAATAATTAATTATGTGTTCTAAAACCTTGAAAAGCACTATTTATCATTACTCGACTTGTGTGCGCAGTCCGTAAAATTTTTCGGAAAGTTTTTGTGTGAAAATGGATTTAAAATGTGAATTAGAGCTTTAAAACTCAACTGAGTTGACTTTGGTTAACATTTGGAGCAAACGGACTCGGATCAGTATTTTGATAGTTCCGATAGGTCCGTATCGTGATTTGGGACTTGGGCGTATGCCTGGAATCAAATTCCGAGGTCCCTAGCCCGAGATATGGAATTTTGATGAAAAATTAAAAGTTTAAGTTCAAATAGTGATCGGATTCCAACAGCTTCGTATGGTAATTTTGGACTTAGGAGTGTGATCGGAATTTTATTTGGAAGTCCGTAGTGAAATTAGGCTTAAAATGGCTAAAACAAGAATTTAAGTTTGGAAGTTTGACCGGGGAGTTGACCTTTTGATACCAGAGTCGGAATACAGTTCCAAAAATTTTCATAGCTCCATTATGTCATTTATGACTTGTGTGCAAAATTTGAGGTCAATCGGACTTGATTTGATAGGTTTCGATTTCGAATGTAGAAGTTGGAAATTTTAAGTTTCATTAAGCTTGAATTGGAGCATAATTCGTAGTTTTAGCGCCGTTTAATGTGATTTGAGGTTTCAAATAAGTTCGTATGATGTTTTAGGACTTGTTGGTATATTTGGTTGAGGTCCCGAGGACCTCGGGTGAGTTTCGGATGGTTAACGGATCAAAAATATGACTTAAACAGCTGCTGCAATGTTTCTCTTCTACTGGAAATTCTGGGTTGTGATCGAGCCCAAGATCGAGGCCCATGATCGGACTCCCAAAATCAGACTCCCTAATCGAGCTCCCATGATCGAGCTCCCATGACCGGACTCCCTGATCGAGCTCCCTGATCGGACTCCCTGATCGAGCTCCCTGATCGGAATCCCTGATCGAGCTCCTTGATCGGACTCCCTGATCGAGCTCCCTGATCGGACTCCCTGATTGAGCTCCCTGATCGGATTGGACAGATCTGTAAGTTATAAAAGACAAGGGAATTCGTCCCATTTGCCATTTTTGACGAACTTGAGCTTGAGCAGAGGCGACTTTGGATAGATTTTCAAGGGAAAAATATTGGGGTAAGTGATTCTAACTCGGATTTGGTCTACATATACAAGTATATCATTATTTTCACCATAAATTAGTGTTTTGATATTGAAATTTGGGAAATTTTTAAAATCTCATAGAAATAAATTTTTGAGATTTCGGTATCGATTCGGAGTCGGATTTGAGTGAAACTGGTATGGTTGGACTCATAATTGAATGAATTATCGGATTTTATAACTTTCGCCGAATTCCGAGATGTAGGCCCCACGAACGAATTTTTAATTAATTTTGAAATTTTTATTGAAAATGTAGTATTTCCTTATAGAATTGATTCCTATAAATTTTAGTGATTGTATCGAATTATTTTGGTTAGATTCGAGCTAATCGAAGTTGGATAATCAAGGAAAAGACTTACTAGTGGATTAAATTGGAGCAAGACGAGGTAAGTCTCTTGTCTAATCTTGTGAGGGGGAAATTACCCCATAGATGATTAAAATTAAATGATTGTTGCTAATTGTGGGGGGCTACGTACGCACGAGGTGATGAGAGTTCATGTGTAGCTACTATTAATTCTAAAGTCCGGGTAGTTTAGGACTCAAAGCATGAATTACTTGTGTAAATTGTATTCCTTGTTTAATTAAAATATATTTTATTTTTATTTTTATTTTATTTTTTGAATTTTGAATTGTTAGATAAAAATATTAAAGGATGAAAATCTCATATGCTTAAATTTTCTATTTAAATTAATTAATTGTTAAGAGAAATTATTTTTCCTCCTGAATTTATCTTATAATAAATATACTCTCATTCCGGAGGTACATAAGAAAATGTCCTCCTTTCTGGTGGAGCGGGCCGAACGCTTATGCAGGATAGATGCATCTATGGATCGTGCCGCACGTCCCTCGGCAGTGTACATGAAACTCTGGATCGGGTCGTACGACCTCGGCAGAAATCGTGCTTAATAATATTAATTACACGATACTTGGACAGTTTATTGCAGCTTGTACAGCTATTTGATAAATTGGAAATTATTGAAATTGAATTGCGCTTGTAAGCTATTTGATAAATTGGAAATTTATTGAAATTGAATTGCAGCTTGTAAAGCTATTTGATAAATTGTAAGTTTTATTGAAATTGAATGATTTAATTAATAGATTTAAAATTGTTGCATTTGAAGGGTTTTTATTATTTCTACTAATTGAATAAATTATTGTTAACTTTGTGAATCATGCTGATTTGAATAATTATAATTTATTCCATTTATTATTGATGACCCTTAGTAAGTGTCAAAGTCGGTCATCTCGTCTCTACCACTTCGAGATTAGGCTTGATACTTACTAGGTACACGTTGTTTACGTACTCATGCTACACTTGCTGCACTTTTTGTGCAGGACCTGAGGCAAGTACTAGTGGAAAACCTATCGTCTTACACCCACGTTATCCAGGGGTATAGTGGTGAGCTGTCTTTCTGAGCCGTTCTCTAGCTACCAGTATCTCTCCTTGTATTTTTTTTTTCATTCTGTCTATTTTTATTTCAGACAGTATTTGAGGTTTTGTATAATCTACTAGATGCTCATATACTTGTGACACCAGGTCTTGGCATACACATTGGTAGAATTTGGTGTCTTATTATTTTTTTTGAATTTAAATTTTATCGATATATGTTTAATGTATTAGTTGGCTTGCCTAGCTATAGTGGTGGTTGCCATCACAACTTATAGGTGAAATTGGGTCGTGACACATCAGGACTTTGCACAAATGCTAGGAAATCTAATATTTTTAGTGCTAATATGGAACAACAAAGCTTACTGGATTTGTGTGAGCTAACAGGGTACCAGAAGGGTAAACTACCATTTAAGTATCTGGGGGTTCCAATCTCAACCAAAAAACTGAACAATATAGACAGTGAAATGTTAGTAGATAGGATGACAACAAGAATTAAAACTTGGGGATCAAAGCACCTATCATATGCAGGAAGAGTGCAGCTTATCAACTCAGTATTAATGCATGTACACACATATTGGGCATCTATATTCCTACTACCAAAGGCAGTGATGAAACAGATTAATACAGTATGCAGGAATTTCTTATGGGATGGGAAGGAGGTGAGCAACAGAGCACCATTAATAGCATGGGATCTGGTATGTAGACCAAAGGAAGTGGGAGGCTTAGGTATAACTAATGGAATATTATGGAATGAGGCTGCAATAGGTAAATATGTCTGGAATATAGCTAGGAAGGTAGATGACCTATGGGTGAAATGGATAGATCATATCTACTTAAAAGGCTGCTCTTTGTGCAATATAAGCCTCCTAAGGATTGCTGCTGGTATTGGAAGAAAATATGCTCGGTGAGAGACAGATTTGCACAGGGGTAGGTAGACCAAGGGTGGCTAATAAAAAAATGGCAACTATAATATCAAAAGTGGCTACTTATGGAGACTAGGAAGAATGGAAAAGTGGCCTTGGAGTAGGTGGGTATGGAGTAAAGGAAATGTTCCTAAGCACAGTTTTATTTGTTGGCTGGCTGGACATGGCCAATTATTAACAAGAGTGAGATTGCAGAAGATGGGGATTACACAAGATACAATGTGTGCAATATGTGATAATGCACCTGAGACGATTGAGCATCTCTTTTTTGAATGTCAATTCTCTAGAGCTTGTGTGCAGGCTATGGTAAAGTGGTTGAATATTGGAGTCCAGAATACTACACTACAAGGAATGTGGAGAAGATTAACAAGAGGGGTCAAAGGTGAAAACTGCAGGAATCTGGTAAACTCAGTTCTAGCAGCATTGGTCTATTATATATGGAAGGCAGGAAATGAAGCACTATGGCACCAAAGACTTCCTAAACCTGAAGCAATCTGTACACAAATCCAGCAGGAATGCAAAACTATACATGACAGAAATGGCAGTAAGAAAGGAAGCAGAAGAAATAGGGAATGGATAGAAGAATTGTATAGGAAAAAGATATAGATTTACAGAATTATAGACATTTTGCGACTATGAAAAATTATAGGTAGAAATACCTACTTTCCAGAGTCTGTATAGTTACTAAATGTACTCAGGTTTAGTTCCAGAGTCTTAAGTTGTATATATAGTATATACTATACTATACTATACTATACTATAATATATATACATCTTACTATATATATTATATATATCTTAAGATGTATACTATCGAATATGACTTATATACTATGTATATATAGTATAGTGTGTGTATACATATATATATCTTAAGATGTATATATAGTATAGTGTGTGTATATATATATATATCTTAAGATATATATATATAGTATATCTTAAGATGTATACTATCGAATATGACTTATATACTATGTATATATAGTATAGTGTGTGTGTATTATATATATATATATATATCTTAAGATGTATATATATTATATAATCGAATATAGCTTATATAAATCGAATATAGTATAGTATAGTAGATATACATGTATATATAGTATATTTTAAGATGTATATATATACTATAATATACTATATATATACTATAATATATATACATAGTTTATAAGTCATATTCGATAGTATACATCTTAAGATATACTATATATACATCTTAATATATATATATATAGAGCTTATATATCTTAAGATGTATATATATCTTAAGATCTACTATACTATACTATATATATATCTAGTATACTATGTATATATAGTATATCTTAAGATGTATATATAATATAGTATATATAGTATATAAATCGAATATAGCTTATATATATTTATTACTATTTTTTTTTCTCTAAATTTATTACTATTTTTTTTTCTCTAACTTCTATATTAAAAAAATTAAAAATAGAAAGTTTATGTTGGGCCCGTTTAGGCCCGTTTGGGTCCGTTTAGGCCCACTTAGGCCCGGAACCGGCCCACTTAACCCGGGACCGTTAGTTCGTGGTCC